GGGCTTCCTGCCTGGCTTGACGGAGAGCGGGCTTTGTTCGTCACGGCACCTGGGAACGTTGTGTTCTTGCTTTAGGTTTTGACAGTAGTGTGTGCTTTTTCTTTCTCTATAGCTAATTGAAAGTATTTGGTAAAACGGAAACAAGATGTGTGATGTTATGAGAATATTTTGCAGATTGGTATGTGTGTGTTTGCTTGTAGGTATGTGTAACACACACAAGCAAGCCTGGCAAACCTGATCAGTTCTTTTCCTGCTTCATACATAATTTTTTAGAGAAAAAAAAGTACTTTATAGATAGAAGAACACTGTGACTATGATTGCAAAAAATAGTAGGCTGCTGACTTTCTGCAGATACAAACCTATAAATTCAATGGGCACCACTCAAGGTTTTGAAATTTAAATTTAAATAAAAGTTAAGATAGGGCAGTCATATGAAAAGGCAAGTGGGTGCATGCTGGTATCTTTTTTTGACAAGACACTTGATTCCCTTCTGCAGGATGATTATTTTTGCACAAGCCACTGGAATAAAAAACAAAACCAAACTTAATTGCAAAGCCTTATCTTTTATCCTGTGTGGGTACCTGTGCTTTTTAAAATGATAAACAATTCAGTGAACCAGGTTTGGGTTGTCTTTTCTCCTTTCAGAATGTGTTTCTGTATGTGGCCCTGTAAAACAAGAAGTGTTATCAACCCCTTCTGTAATTTTGATAGTAAAGAGGAGGCATATCAGTTACTGTCTGAAGTTGGATTAGTTCAGAAACACAGGTTACCATCTCCATTTGAAGTAGGCTGTATCTTTATGACTGTGCTGCTTTGTTATGTATAGAACTGACAATTGTTCAAGTAGGCAAAGACTAAAACTAGAAAAGCAAGGGATTGTTAATAGGTGAAGCTAATCAATCAACTGTAAAACACTGATAATGTACTGCAGATATTTGGGATTTCATTATGAGGTACAAATGAGTTTGATATTTTGTATAGGAAGATTTTGGTTAGTGGAGTGTTTGGGAGGTGAAAACTTTTCTGTGCCGTTTGACTGCCGTAAGGAGCACAAGCTGATCTCAAGAACAC